ACAGCAGTGCCAGGGTACATCAATACTGGTGAGACTGATAACTTGTATTAATAGAATGAATTCAAAATGGGTGCAGCAGTACCAGGGTACATCAATACTTCTGTATTAATAGCATCTCTCATAAATAATGACTTTGGTGCAGAAAAGCAAAAGAAGTCTCAGACTCTATTATGATTTCATAAAATATGGCCTTGGGGGAAATGATTTATACCATTTCTCTCTTACTTTAATCTAATTTCATTTAAAATCCATTATTTAAAGGCGTCTGTCATACTTTGCAATTTAACAAATGCCTAAAAAGTTGCCACCCTGGGAAAACATATAATGAGAAAGAAATTAAGAACCCATAATAGTGCACTAAGCTTCTTCTATATATAGTTTAATAATTCTGAAGTCAACCTAACCGAAGATGATAAATGACAATTTTCAACATTTATTTTTGCAATTACGCATATCAAAGAATTCTAGTATAAGTGTATTGCATATATTTATCAAACCAATGAAACGAGTCTTCTCACAAAACAAATCTTTAATATCGTACTTACTTGAATGAAAAGATTAATATCTAAAGATGAAAGCACAGAAACATTGAAAGAGATGAAGTTGATCTGGAATGAGATGTGATTAACATTGGACCTGGAGAATATTCCCAAGACACAAGTGAAGATGATAGCTTTGCAGTAGAATTATTGACAAAACTATTTGTTTTCCATAAGCATTACACCCCAGAGGTTCACATCATGGTCAAAGTAAGGAATAAAGCAATGATAAATAGTCAAGAAGATTCAATTCTATTCTTGGCAGATAACACATAGATTGTTCATTGCTTTGCTGAAATGAAGAACATTTTGACATTGGTAGTAGGTTCAAATGACGGCCAACACCAGTAAAACAAGATACAGGATAGTATCCCATTGTTGGTATGTAATCTCTAGCATTAAGGTTACTCCATGCTACACCCAGATGATTTTTCAAATGACTTTAACTAAGCTGGAATTTAAAAAATCCATAAAATGGGATATGTTTTAATTAAAGTTCAGGATACTGTCCTCAAAAATAAGTGGAAAAAGAATTTTTACTGAGATGAGAGATGTCATTGTATTTCGCTGATAATCTATTGTCTACATTTGGGATTTGAAGTTTTAGGATTTACTAGTCAAAATTAGTTTAAAAGAGAAAATAAAACTATTCTTTTGATAATTGAATGGCTTATAATACCATTGATCTTTTTATTCAGGGACAACACATTTTCTAGAACAAGCTTTATAGACAACGATTGGGAAGCAATCTCCAGGAACTGACATGTGAGATGGAAACATCCCCCATACAAGACTCTCATTTTCTCGAGACTTTTAGAAAATTACACCTATAAGTCAACGTGTAAATTAACCACACAATATTCACCCTCATAAATATTGCAGTTTTCGAGAACTTCTTGAGATATAACACAGCAACAATTATTGAAGAAATATTTCGGCATGAGAATGAGGATCAATGCAGATTGAGCCCATTGATGTATCAACAGACTGTTTATATGGGAGACCTACAGTTACAGTTAGTGCATTAATGTTGCATGAAGCCACTCCAAAATCAAATGAACAATGATTAATGGAGAAATATCCAATGAGAGCCAGTATACATAAAGTCCCGGAATAAGACATATGGTCTCGCTAGTTTAGATCTCATCGATCAATCCACATGGAATAAACTCATCAATGAATCCACTTATTTTTTAAAGTTATCCTGTTATTATTGGACAAATCCTCTCCCTAAAGATTTGTGAAAATCACCAATATTTATAGATATGTCTATCAAAGCACGGTTCATATTTGCCTGAACATTTAACAGCTTAACCTTTGACATGGAGTTGTGTCAATGACCATAAGAGTCATACAAGTTAATGGATGTGACTTTAAGATTTGATTTAATCCATTTAAAATGACAAGAAGCATGCTGAGAGTCTTGAAGAGGCATTTGCAAATGTTGCAGAAGCCAAGCACGCAAGAACACGTCTCTTGCAAAATTGCTCTATAGAAAAACAAGTCTACTTCTAGAAAGCAGTTTTTAGAACAGAAAAATCAATTGTAAGACTCAAGATCAAATTGATCTTTGCAATTATGCATAATTTCCTTCAAGACTGTTTACAATCTACTTAGTCTAAAAAGATACTGTTACATTGCAAATATTTTGATCAAATTCTTAGAGATGCTTATGAAGGCTTGCTACAATTCATGATTTATATAATTTCTGTCATCATCATTAAAACCCCATTGTGTTTAACTGATACATACGTACATATTAAAATAAAACATTAGAAGTCCATAATCGGAGTCTGAAATCTGTTGAATGACTACCTGAGGCACATATTCTATTTGTATTAGAAGAAATATTTCAAACCTGCATTATGTCTTTGGTCCATGAAATATTGCAGAAAAAATTGCAATTGTATACAAGCAACTGAGACATGAGCTAAAAATAGTTCGCCATTAAGAGGCAGATAGAAGACTTACATCTTTGTGGCGTTCAGCATCTTCATTGGGGCAAGTCAGCATCCCAAAACCATTCTTCAAATCCATTATTTTCCATTTTTATTCTCATATTCAATTTCAATCCTTATATTCCATATCAAGCTATTATATTCACTGAGCAACACCTTTATAAAGTTAATGATGCAGCCTGCATCGTGTCCAAGTATTCGTGATTAAAGGTGATGAGTCAAAGAACATTCATCCTCATGGGGAATAATACTACTTTTGCCTCAATGCTTTGAGGTCAGTCTGAACAATCTGTTATGGCATAATTAAGACGAGATTTAAAACATGAGAGTTTCAGTCGTGTTCCAGCATAAAAGTCATATCATCAGAAAAAATCAATGATAAAGTCGTGTCATTTGGGTGAAATTATGTCAGAAATCACCTTTTTAAAATTGATTTCCTTCATATATTGAAATCAAATATTTTCACTTCCTGCAACCTGTATAAAATATTCCACTACATAAAAGCAGTTTTCAAGAGAGGCTGGTTCTTAGGCCTTATCAGCTCTATTCAATAAATATTATTCCTTGTTAAGATTTAGGATTCATTGACGACTTCTTTGAGTGTTTTGTGCTTGTAATGAGCTCCCGTCTCCAGCACTTTCATCTCGAGCTATGTTATAGTAACCTCAAAGACCTCGTAGCTCCTGCTACTGATTTTCTCATGGAGATTATTGATTCTAAATAATTGATAAATCTAGTGTCACTGTATATAAACACCAACAGTAATCAGTTGTGATTTGCGTGTTCAATGAGATGTGATCCCTTCTCATCCAAACCTTATATTATCCCTCATATGGAGATCAGTTTATAAAGTACTAATTTTGGTATCTTGTACTTACTTGTACATTTCTTACTTGTAATCTGAAAACTGTAATGACACTATTATTACAATACTTCAACTGGTGTTTCCATGTGATTTGTTGTCAATTAACTTTCCATCATCTCTCTCGTAAGCACGCCAATTTCCATGGCAATGCTACAGTCATACAAAGATGACATATCCTAAATTACTGTTTATTCTAACATGGCTGCTGTAATGCTAATCAAGCAGAGCAATTGATTCTTCTAAACCCCACGCTTTCATAATTCCCAAATCTTCACAACAGTTCACTGAAGGTATGACACAATATATTGATGATACGATTGTAGAGTCTCATATACAAGATAACAATCCGCTAATGATATTCAATGACAACAAGTAAACAACAATAAGGCGACAAGCTAATTGTTCTTTATACGTAGTTATAGAAGACAACAAGCTTGTTGCTAATTGTTTACTATATAGTCTACCTATATAACAATACCTATTCTCAATTGAAAGACAGCCAATCCTTTATAACTGTGAAACACCTGTGGTCCTTCATTTATTACTTTTGGACAACATTTAGGTGTTCTTATAGAATAGAAGTTAATTTGATATAAGTTAATAGGTATGAAAAGAATGATGAAACAATTGTTTCAACAACAATGAAGAAGCATGGAGAAACAGCCTCAAGAGATTACAATTGAAAAAAGGTAATACAATTTACAAAAAAAAACATAGATCATCTGAACTATATAAAACCAATTCCAGATTCCAAAAGGTCCCTAAATTCAAAAGAAAACTTTAAATAAATACGAGGAATGGCAAAAGTACAAGCCACACAGTTCTAATAAATGTATCAACAACCAGATATCAATGTAAATAAAATGTATAATTAGTTAATAAAATATATAGAAAATATCTTTCAACATATTTTCAACTTGGTATATGATAAAACTGTCTATGTTTCATTGCCTAGAAGATAAAATTATGAATGTATGTATTCTATTGGCAAGGCTAATAAAAGGCCAAGTTAATGGTGAATGCCAACAGAACATTCATTTCCAGACTTCATCCTGTTTAAAAGAATTGATTAGAAGTGTGATTACTTTTTGATCCATTACCATACAATAAGACTCGAAGCAGTATACTCTAGGATATAGCCACTGCAAAAAGTCAACCATATCCATTCACTGTATAGCATGATATTTTTTAGCTTCTTAAAATTCTTTGATCACTCAAGGTCGAAATAAGTAATTTTACTATCTAAATCATTAAGAAATAAGAAGAGGGAATCATATATAAATGTTGATTATGTATTATGTATTGTTTTGTTTTAACTAAATAAAGATATTTGCCTTTAAGCCAAGATGGTATTGATGAGAATAAGTTTTTGAAGGTGTCAAACAGGGATGTTTGCATGACAGGTATACTGTATTTATATATAGTTACATGTAAGTACATGTTCAACTAATCATCATTATACCTACATTAAACTGAAACCTTGTCCACATACATGTAGGTTCCATAAGCTCATACAATGTATAATGGAAATAATAATAAAGATCATTTAAAAAATAGTTTCTCAGAAAATTCTCTTCATTTATCAATTCTTGTCACATCTCATATTAAATGTATCTATTAAGAAAAAATCAGTTATATCATCTGAAATATGAAAATATTCAAGTTTTATATCCAAAAAACGTTTGTGTTAAAAAGCCAAAATGCCTCTGTCCTATAAAAGATACACACACTTAGTATACAATGACATTTTTAATTTAATACTTACTTTGCTGTTATGATGTAAGGGAAACCCTTGTCCATATCCATCTTATTCAAGACCCCAATCTCATCCATATCTTCACTAAGGAGTGCATCCTTCAGTGCCTTGAAATCAAAGGCAGGCTTCCTCTCAAGACTATCATCTTCAAACCTCTCAATGCTGGACATCTTGTATGATTTGATCTCAATTTCCTCCATTGAGGTTTCTCTGAATGCTTTAAAGTCAAACGGTTTTCTTTCAAGGCTTTCATCATCAAACATGACCTTAGTTCTTGTTGCTTTTGTTGTTCTGATCATTTCAACTTCCATTGCTTCATAGTTTGATTCCTTTAGGGCTTTGTAGCTCTTGAGTTTTCTCTCTAAACTATCATCCTCCATCGGCTCTTTAGTTGTTATTGTTTTGATTTCTAGATCCGCTTTCTCATCTTTTTGTACATTCGGTTTGTCAATGTGTTTGTGCTTCTTGGCTCTCTTAGGTAAGAAGTCTCTAGTTGTTTTCCTTGATTCTCTCTCACCATGGTCTAAGTGTTGTTCTTTATGAGTATGTGGTTTGTGCTGATCCCTAGCTTTCTGTTCAAAGCGTCTCTTATACCTGGCAACCTTGTCAACATCACGTGCAATTGGGGCATCTGGCAAGGTGCCTAGGATATCTTGCTTTGGGGGACTATTGCTGTCACGGTATGGTCTATGTCTGGTGGTGACATCTTTAGGTGGACTATAACTCTCTCTGTATGGTCTATGGTGGTACTCTAGGACTGGAGTGATGGATCTATCCTTTGTAGGTTTGTAGCTAGACAGTGAACCCTTATAGGATGATGTCAGCTTCTCCCTTTTTGTATAAGAAGAAGCACTTCCCGAAAGTGAATAGAAGGCGCTGCTATGTAAGCTCATACTACGCGTAAGCGGTTCTTTCTGTTTCTTGAATCTTGAGGGTTTGTTGCTTGAAGATTTGTTAGTCTGAGGTTCATTCGATGACTTCACTGCTGTTTCATATTTCAAGCTAGCAAGCCTTACAGAAGACTTGCGATTTAAATATGCAATTGGGTCTGCATCAAATTGTCTGGACTTCTGAGTATTCATTAAGTATGTGCTTTCTGGCTTCAAATAGTCATATTTACTATATATGAACTCAGGTGCTTTCTCAAAGATGGCAGATGAGTGTTCTAGCAATGCACCAGATGGTTTAGTACTTGCATCATCGTGTTTATCACTAACACCTAGGTATTTCTCCCAGTGCACCTGAGAACTATCTAAACTTTTGCTTGTTTCTAATGGGACGCGACCAGCTTGATCCCTTGAGAGGCTTTTCGACTGTCTGTACTTCTCATATTTATAGGCTGTAGATTTTAACTTTCTTTTGCTAACATAATGCCCTGTGTATGGGGAATCTATAGAGGAAGCATGGCTTTTTCCGCTAGGAGGTTTATCAGTGCTTCTATAGCTTCTTGAGCTAGTAGGGACATATTGGGCAACCATTGTACAGGGCCTATCTTCCCTGATTTTGTAGACTGTATCATGACTAGTGATTGAGGAGTAAGGTCTATCATCTATGATTGAATATGCTTTATCCTGACTAGATGGGGCTGAGAATGGTCTATCTAGTTCTCTGCTTATATTTGAGAAGGTCTTATCATAACTAATAGTTGAGGAGTAGGGTCTAATGTCACTGCTTCTGAAGGTATTATCACCACTACCCTTGGCAGAATATGGCCTTTCATCATCTCTACTTGAATATGAAGACTTTTCCTTTGTATCTCTTTCAGGGTATGATTTGTCATGACTAGTTGTTCCTCTGTAAGGCTGGTCTTTTTCTATACTGATAATGTAAGATTTCTCACGGCTCTTAGCACCAGGGTAGGTTTGATCATAGCTTGATGCACTATGATGAGATTTCTCCCTGTAGAACCTTTCACTTCTGTAGGGCTTATCAAAACTTGATGTCGAAAATGCCTTATCACTTTGCTCAGATTTCTCCCATTTTGATTTCGGGGAATATGGCGGATCTTGAGCGAACCTGCTAACATACGATTTATCATGACCCGATGGTCCTGGAAAGGTCATGGGATAAGATGAAGTACCCACCCCGGTATATGGTTTGTCGTAACTCAAGCGGGCTGGTGTTTTGGATGGTTTAACGCGAGAAAGAAAATAATCTGTTGTGACATCTGGCCGTGACAGGGACATATACTCCAACTTGGTCCCAGGTAGATTCCGCTTCAGGTAATAGTCTGCCATCTTCAAAACTCTATCTGATTATGTACTCAAATGATATGTTAAAGCTACATATTGAAAAACCTTTTAAATTCCTACATGTAGTTTACTTGTCTTTTATATAGGCCTGTTACTAGAGATCTTCCTGATATAGCAACTCAAGGAATATTTCTTTTGATGTTTAATGGAGAAGTGTTGTATGCCCCTATAATTCAGTTTTAGCTGTATCCTTTATCTCCCTTTGTATGCCTCTACTAGACCTTAGATCTAGTCCCATAGAGTCTGATTCCAGGACTTAACGTTACCTAATTAACAGTTATCGCCCAATTAAGATTACCTTTACTAGTTCACACAGGTATTTGATCCCCTGTGAGATAAACACAGCATCTGGGGGATGAATTCACCATGTTTGTTGAATGTTTGAAGAAGAATATTTTGGGAAGAAAATAAAACACTAGCAAATGTATAATCTGAGCCAGAGCACTTTGATTAAGGATCCAGATGCGAGCCCTGATTCAGTTTCACTTCAATATGACTAACCTTTATAGAGAAATCTTGGGTTATTTATAACTTGGAAGGTGATTCCATATTTTGGTAAACTGTCTGATTTCAGCAAGCACTTAGTGGCTCATATATTGGTTTTATGAGATTCCTGTTGATGAATTTCACCAGCAGCTTTCCATCTATAAATGTCAAAAGTATATTGTATCCAGCCTCCAAAAGTATAGAGTTCTATGTATTTTGCAGTTTTTATCAACTATTTCCTATGTGTTCCAAAGTGTTTCCTATGAAGGAATTCTGATAAACTCCAAAACTCAGATAATTTTATGTTCTTGTTTCATGGACTGAATGAACTTTCGCATTTGGTTTGAAAAAGGTGTTACTTTGCCGAATGTAAAATCTTCCGATATTTACAAGTCATTCTAAATCCAAAATATTTCTAAAATCCAGTCAATCTTAAAGTATTAAACAAATATCTCTACTCATTTTGAAATCCACAGCAAAATATTTGAATTTTTCCCATGTTTTCAGCTAGTAAGACTCATTGTACATCAATACACACGATCAGTTATAATTCCCTTTCTTTTGTGCAGATAGTTTCTTATAAACTCACTAAATCTTGGTAGAAATCATAAAAATGTCAAATCTCAAACCAATTCAGTGGTTTTAATGCTATTTATGTCCTAGATTGGTTCCCAGCAAGATCTAATAACTGTTTTGCTTGTGAAGTAGTTATTATACACTATGTAGTTCTGATCTCCTCCTTTGGTCAGTGTGGTTCCACATGGGTAAACCCTAACCCACTGACATGAAACAGTCAAAATAGATCTGCATGATTATGAGCTCATAAGTATATTTTCTATATGTATTTTCTTTATTGAGAGGGTCTGTAACAACTTTAAGAATAAATTGATAAATTATTCAAAACTCCAGTAGAGAATCCCAAAAGCTGTTATTAATATTAACCTGAGTTCTATCACTTCAAACCTTTTTTCTAATTCAGTGGCAAAATTCTGGTTTCTTTCAGCAGACTCCCAACCTAATAATCCATGCAACTGTTTCTGTGTTCAAAAAGATTCTCCAAGTTTATGGGGACTATATAAGGCCTTTGTATCTTTATTGTCTTGTTATCCTGCACCAAGCAACAACTTCTTGATATCCTCCAACGAAAGTCTCAGTATCTTAATGGATGGGCCCTGTATCAATATATCTCCATGGATACAGATTTACGCCCCACATCAAGAAGTTAAGTTAGCGAAAGTTTCTGTGTGGTGTGTTTAGCCGTGTTGCTGCTGAAATACAGGTAACCCTCTGTATAAGCTTAAGCACTCCTACACCTGATATCCGCCTGCTTTGAAGGATAGCATATGATTTTTGTGGCTATCATTGAGCTAATCTATGGATGTGCTCTAACATGAGGTAAAAATACCTGTAGTCTCTGTTAAGGTTTTGTAGCAGTTGTTTTAAGACTTCTTGTATCCTCTATATCCTATGTGCACACATATCAGCTATTTTGAGCACAGTGTAGTATATATTAATGGTTCAATACCAAGAAGTGTTCTGGTGTGTGGATTAAGCGTGCTCCCAAAGTAGTGTAAACTTATTTTAACTTGGCTTTGCCTATATTTGAAAGATGCGTTTGTTGCTTTTGGCTCTTCCCAGTTATTTTAACTCCTTAGTTAAACAGGAAATATGATTTATGTGTTTGACATTCTCCAGTACATGTATTTGAAAATGTTTAACATTTGTTCATTCATGAAAATGTTCCCTCAATACACTTACGATATCAGCCTAATATATGTTCAGCCATATCCACAATCACTTTACATATCTTCAAGTACGAGTCGAAACATCTCAAACCAATTGGATATTTACTAAGATAGCGTTTTCTTGACATAGAAAACATCCACTTCATTAACCTCTGTCTGTCCCTTTATCATTCAGGCAGTGGTAAACCCAGTTAAATATCATATGCAAAATTTTCGTCAAAATACCAGAATATTTCTGTTTTCTTGCAAATGGCACAAAAGCAAGTTCCAACCCTGATTTACAGCACACTATACCTCAGATGTAAGATTCCTGTTTCATTAACATAACACATGGTAAGGTAACAAATAACTGAGCTGAGATTGGGCATAACCTAACCTAGCCAAGATTATGTTTGCCGACACAGTAGATACTTGTGATAAAATTGAGAATTAGCGTAAAAGGTAAAGTTACGTCATATTTACAGCAACTACATCAAAGGCCTGTAATAGAATCTTGGAACAGTTTTTTCGTTATCTGCTGCTTTTAATGATAACATTTTTATGATGGATGATCTTTCTATTACGTCAAAGGTTCCTCAGCTGTGGGGCTGTGTCCATCACGAAAACATGTTCTAGTGGGTATAGATATCAGAAAGTTTATTCAGATGCGTAATACATTTATGACTAACCTTAAGTCTAAGGAGTAACATTTAAGGAAACAACTATACGAGAACCCCTATAAACAATATCAGGAGATAAATCCTGGCTATCAAGTGCAAAATTTATAAATCTACCCATGACAACTTCTGATGTTTTTTTATGATTTCAAAGCCGTATAACTAGAAACCAAGTTGGATTTTAACATTATCTGCTCATTTCTAGTCTTTCTATGGAAAGAAACATATGAAAAATCTTTAACAAGTCAAGATGTGAACTAATAATATACCACAGATTTATGTGTTGTGTCGTTATTCAACAACTTAACTTTGCAATGCTGATTTACTGATAAAGGAGATTCCTTAACTGCAGATATAATGTTGGTCAGAATGTCTTGCCCTTATATTTCATTAGTTAACCCCTTCTCCCTCCTCTCTCTCCAAAAATGATAGGCTGGTAAGTAACACATGATCACACTGACCAGTTCAACGAATAGAGGGATATGGTGAATCATATACTGAATTGCATGTTTACATAATATATCTGTAGCCTCTGAACAGCTAAGTTAGACTATTTTACAATTTATCCTCCCTGCCCCCATTGTCAGTGACCATCATAACCTGGGCAGCAAGGTCATTAATCAATTCAATCAACCAATCAGTAAGCAGAAAAAGTCAATAATCCAATACTGGTGAATTCTGGGTCAAAGATGATATCAGAGGAAATGACCATCATTTTTTACAGAATTAATGATATGACAGTAATCTATCTAGATACTGTTCTTATCTAAGAACATTCACATGGTATTAGTAAAGTAAGTGAGCAAACCTGGTTTAACCTGTAGGCCCTGTTCTAATTACTGAATTACCTGAAATTACCTAGAAATATTTATAAGCAACTATGACGCACAAACTTGCATCTGTTTTTACTGCTATAAGGGAGGAGCTAAAATATACAACTTGTGTTTTACTTTGATTTCAGCTTAATGGCATACTTTGGCAATGTCTGCACACGTAACTGGACTTTCATTATCTGACTGAACCATTGACCCATTTTTTATAATTCTTTCATATTTGTACATATAAAAATGTTGGTTCGCCTCCAAATAGTATCCATGACTACTAAAGTATAACACATGTCAGTAGCATCAGACACTAATCAGTTTTTCTTTAATTATACACAGAGTAGTTACAAAGGTCTTGTAGGTAGCAATCTGTAAAGTGGCAGTAAATTCCTGCAAGTGTATGTGGGGAAACAGAGTCAACTCTATAACAGATATTCTGTTTGACTTTGATTAGTTTCAGAAATAATATGAACATTTTAAAATTTGGAAAATGTGCAACTTTCCTTATTAATGGCACATCTATCAGTTAGACATGTTCTGATGAGGATAGTTGTTATGGTAACAGGTGCAAATCATGGGGAATATGGTTGCTATAGTAATACAGGTAAACCTCAAAACAGAGAACATCTGATTACCATAGCAGCATATCACTGTGGTAGAAAATATATTGAGCTCTGCTGCATCTATATTCACATTCATTTTTTAGTCTCAACTATACTAAAAATACTTTCTAAAATTGTCTAGGCCAAACAGAGTACAATGTTATATTTTTTAGAGAAAAAAAATCAATTGAAATAGTTTATAACTACATGTACTTCATTTTTAAAATTGAGCATCTGCTTTGATAACCAAATCATAATCTGTTTTTTCTAGAGTGAGGAAATATTCTTATGTTTGAAGATGATCCCGGGTGTGTAACAGACAACAGCACGATTTGTAGAAATATAATAGTTGTTAAGATTCCTAAAAGTTATCTACTGTATATTTTTTCTAAAACAAACTGTTGATGCCTATGAGGCAACATACAAACTTTATCATTCACAGAGAACTTATGGTACTAGTAAGTAAAATATGAAAACAGTTACTCCCTCTATATTATAAATTAAGAGTTTCACTTACCTGTATGCAGCAATTTGATAGGTTGATTGGATCAATTAAAGATCAAAGGAACATGTAGGTATCATCCATCATTGTTCAAGATAATATGAAAATATATATAAAAAAAAAAATGAGAAAGTTACAATATTTTCATAAATCTTCAATGTCTATATACTATACTTTGTTCTATAAGAAACAATGAAACAACTCCTTTTTCTGACATTGATATAAAATCTTTTCACCACAAAGAATGCTTCGTGTGGTTTAACTAATACCAAGACAATCAGACTTGAGAACTACATTATAAACCAACCTGATGAAACAACTAGTAAACATTTTTTCATCCATAAAACACAAAATAAATCCAAGTCAGCAGTCACAAAAGACTAATCATATCCATATATGCTACATATTTTTTCAAATTACTCCCATTGCTCCATTCTGACTCATGTAAAGAGGTGAAGATTGGCATCAGATAATAGAGTTCCTGAATGACCTGGGTTTATCTAACAAGTGCAAAAGGAAATTAGCAGTTAGGTATACTTTGGCCACATTACAGAGTGCTATATATACCATTGAGGAGAGACAAGAAGCAATTAAATGCTGATAATGCCTTGTAGACTCACAAGTTCCATAAGAGCATCGCAGCAAGTGAATACCATTCAGTTGTTTCTGTTTACTACTATAGCGACATCTTTAAATCAGACACAAAACTATTTCTATATAACAAGATGAAATACATGCAAGATGCCATAATACTAGATATTTCAAGTTTTTTGTATTATCAGAAAGGTAGATCTAAATATATATGTGCCTATAGGTGAGTTAAAATGCCAGGTACTACATTACATATGGAGCCAAGACCTACAAGCGGATGTAGCTTGAAAAATCCCTTCTATAACTGTGCTAGGACTTTACTGAGTGGTTGGTTTGCACATGTAGATACTCAAGAACGGGGATACAGTGATAGACTCAGGAGCAAAAGTGTGACTACAAAGCACATGACATCCTACCGCGGTCTAGATGTATGAAGTATTGATCAATAAAAGACTTCCAAATACACCCCCAAAATGCAATCTGATTTTTGACGCCGTTTCGGTGCCAAATTTCGGGCCGTTTCGGCACCAAATGGACTGACTAGTCCGGTAGCAAATTTTGGTGTCGAAAGGTTTCGGTGCCGGAACGGTGCCGAATTTTTTCGATGCCGAAACGGCGTTGAATTATATTGGCTGTATATACAATAACATGTGAAACCTGAAACTTCACCCTGGAAGTTCACATCAAAGTAAAATGGCTACTGAAGAGATTAACAATGTGACATTACAATGTTTAGATTTAGCACCGTCTTACCAATATTTCCAATATTTGGGAATACGCCATCCACGCCCACCAAGATACGAAAACATAGAGGAAGGACTCAATACATTGCGTAGGTCGAAAGTATATTTTATCTTATTCCTGCATCATCATTCAATATCCATGTCACAAAATGATGTCACACTTGCTATATCACATTTACAATGTCACACTTGTGATGTCACATTTTCTCAGCATCCGACTCATGTATACATAAGCATTGAAGAGATCACCAAATGTCAAATGACAAACTTCATAGCACACCTATGAGATCATATAATCTACCATTGACAATGCATCATTGTTCCTGTCCACTCCATTGAGAATAGAAATACTAGAGGTGCATTTTGATTGTGCCTTAAAGTTAGTAAACCCTCAAGTAAAACTCCTAGAGTCCCATCCACTTAAAAATCACAACATTGAAGCTTGTACACCTCAAGATACAAGGCAGTGTTCAGTTATTTTTAAATATAAGTTACTATTGCGACCTGGCGATTTTCTAAACAAACATAAGAATCTCGAATTTGTATGTGTAACAGTAGGAGCCATTCCTACATCTCAAACTACATTTCTTGAGTTGAATCTGATGAGTTAGAATGCACAGGTGATCTATAGCTAATTGTGCTTAACTTTTAAGATATAAGAGATCCTGGTTGTGTCTAAATCATGGCTAAATGTATCATCCATACATCACATCTGACATTAACACCTCATCTTCGCCAAAGACATTAAGTATCTCCTAGTCACATCCAAACAAATCCTATAATCTTAGATAAACCTTAGTTATTAGCTCGTTGATCACTGTAACCTTCGAAAGTCTTTAGTTTCTTCAATGTTTGCAATAGTACCTATATACGTAGATATAACTAGTCATAAAACTAGCTGGTTTCTCAATGGACTGAAGCATCTAGCGTGATTCTTAATGGAGGCTCTGGATAGAAGGTGTGTATTTTTACAGAAAGCTCACCTCTACTTATTTATCTATTACAGAAGCTAGCAGTGCTTGAAAATATATTCTCAGTTGTTATCGACTCTGTTTGATTCGAGGAGGCTAGGTGGTTGGT